CACCCAATTTGATAGCGCACTCCCAACTCCTACTCTTGATTGTATACCCTCGACCACTCCCTCCATTACCCGAAACAATGAGCTGTCGCTCACCTCGGCTACTTAGCGTAACTGCTATTCGGAGTGATGGTCTTGATCGCAATCTTTCGGATATTTTCGGAATAAAAACTTCAGGCTCTTCACAAGTTGTGTGTTCCTCATATATAGCGTTTTGGTCGAATACCATAAGATCATCTACAAAGGACTCATTAGTATTTGAAACTGCAGGAGTGCCGTTAACAGACTTACCTCTGGTATTGAACTCAACCTGGTCAATGTGTCTCCGATGACAAGAGAGATCATCCAAATCGAGAATTGTGACCATTCGTTTGCCATTTAATGAAAGTAATATTCCTGTAGCAGGTCGTAAACCATTAACCTTGAAAAATGTAACATCAGTCGTTTTGGCGCAGTCAAGACTTGTACGCAACGATCGAGATTTAAATAGAAGCGCGGGACTCTTCCTAGTAAGGGAATGAACGGCGTTCTTGTGTTGCATTAGAAAAATCAATCCCACGGTCCAATTCCACAAAAGTAGTAGGAGCGAGTGAAATCATGCCAGACATAAGTGTTCGGACAAAATTTCCGCAAGTCCATTCGACTACGGATGTTGCGGAGCAGTAAACAGATATCGACATCCAAGACCGTTCAACCTTTCCTCTAGGAAGTTTGCAGTGAGGTGTGTGCTGTTGTCAGTGACCAAAACAGTTGGTACACCTTCCTCAATGGAACACTTTCCTCAATACTTGCTGAGTGAATTCGTTGGGTGGGGACTTAGTCAGAAAACCTTCAAGCCAACGTGCATATGCGTCAATAACACTTAAAGCATAGTATTTACCGAGAAAAGGCAGTAGTCTTAAAGCATAGTATTTACCGAGAAAAGGGCCGCAGTAGTCTGCATGAACTTGTTGAAATGCTCTGCAAGTAACGGGCCACGGATATTACTATGAAGACTTGTTATGAATCTTATTTATACACTCAACACAATTCTTAGCAGTATGCTTGATATTAGCATCCAGTTCCGGCCACCAGCACGACAAACGTGCAAGGGATTTCATTTTATCGACACCCAGATGTCCAGAGTGTAAATCTGCAAGAACAGCCGCTCGCTGAGTCGGTGGAATGATAACTCTATCCTCAAAACACAACAAACCATCCGGAGTAACGGATAAGCTTTCGCGGCGACAGTAAAAAGCAGGAAATCGGCGTCGTTCTTGC